TGTTCCAGAATCCAAAATAGCAGATGTAACTGATCCCATTTATGATGAATAATCTTATCCATTTATCGTAAACTTATTAATAAATAATTTCCATCTATAAATGTCATTAGGAGTTACCCATTATACTTAATTCATTAAGGATGGATTTATTTATCCAAAAATCAAATAAGAATTCAAAGGAGGTTAATTGAATACTAAGCCATACAATTCAGTTTTTATCTAACCAGCTTTAAAAGACGCTTAAAAGATATTTGTAAATGATTGATTGTTAGAAATACCCATTATCCCATCCATTATAGTTGGGAATGAAAACCCTTACTCCATTGTTGCAAACATCATAGTAAATGTTGTGTTTATTACTGTATTTTGTATATTCACAATATCTGATGCAACATAACCACTGCATTCTCCACTTCCATATGCTTAATAATAATTGCTACCATTTGGTTTGAAATAACTCTAACCACTAGGATTATATCTAGTATTTATATCACAATTTGAACAAACACTGTAGGGAACCCATAAAATATTTGAACCTGTATCAACCTATACTGTAAAATTTTATGCTGGAACACCTATTGATATATAAACCAACCATAAGATTTATTCATAGTTCTCTAGAGTTGCATTCATACTCGGCAATCCTTAAACTTTATTCCAATTTGTATTTGTGTAATTAGTGTTCTGACAAAAAATACCTACTGCAAATGATGTAATTAGTATAAACATTGTTAAAAATATAATAAATACTTTATATACATTTTATGATTAAAAATATAGGTATTAATTATTAACTAATTGATATTCCATTTAAAAGTATTACTATGAATATTAAATAGCTTTCTTAAAATAATTTTTCTTCACTTAAATCATTGCTCAAAAATTAATATTTTTCTATTATAAAAAAGATCCATTAAAGTACACCATAACTAAACATCAATATTTTCATATTTCTCTTGTCTTTAATTTAAATTAAAAAATAAAACTATTAATAAGATTACTTATTATGGCAAAAACCTTTAATGAGCTGATAAGATGATGATTTTTAAAAAAAACAATCCTCCAAATATATTTTGGAAGATATCAAAATAATAATAATAGCAATAAATTAGCAAATGACAATAGATAAATTATTTATGAAAATCCTTTTATTATCTAAAATGCTCTAGCTGGATTATTTTATTAATAAATGAAGTAGGCCTAAAAATTTTAAAAACTAAAAACATAAAGTTTAACAATGTACAATTCTTACAAATGAGTCATTTTTGATAATTTTTAATAATTTATGTTATTTGAAAATGTTTATGTTTGCCAAAAAATAAGTTTCAAAAAAAATAAAATGCTAAAGAATAAAAAGATGATAAATAAAAATTATCAAATAAATTAAAATTATTTAAAACCTTTATTAGATTTCGATTGATAAGCAAAATTTAGCTTATGCTTTTTTTAGGGGTATCTTTGAGAATTTTGATTTAAATTACTAAAACTATTTTATATTGAAAATAAAATATCTAAAAATAATATTAAATTTTTAAGTAATGATTATCATCGTATTTTCAACATTTTGTTATGTTTTAAGTTATATAGGAATACAGTATGAAACAGGAAGTAAACAAATAATGAAAGCTGATTCGGGGCACATATTAGAAGTTTATTAATATTTACCTAGACAAATTGATGTTGCTATATTGTTTTAGAAAACATTCGATTAGCCTCCTTAAGTATTT